CCCCCCCCAGATGACCCTCAGGGAATTCCCTCCCTTCGTAAAACGAAGCAGCGACTGCTTTGCGTCTTTTGATGGGGAGAGCTGGGGAATTGATGGCGAAAATGACGGACAGATGGGGTGTGTGTGTGTGTGAAGAAAAAACAAAAACGAAACAGCTCAAAACATTTTGTGGGGCGACAACGGAGAAAAGAAGGGAGAGGAGGACTCACTGCCCTGAAGCCGGAGCCGATCTTCCCGGTAGCTTTAAAAATAAACAAATAAATAAAAAAAGGAGACAAACTTGCTGGGAAAAAGCCCGGATTCGTGAGCGACAAGCAACAAGCAGTCCTCGACTTACGACGATTCGCTTAGTGGCCGTTCGAAGTGCCAATGGCACTGGAAAAAAAGGGACTTAAAACCCCTTTTTCACACTTACGGCCGCTGCAGCCTCCCTGCAGCCACGGGAGCAAAATTCAGATGCCTGGCAACCGACTCGTATTTACGACGGACGCAGCGTCCCGGGTGTGTGTGTGTGTGTCAGGCGATCCCCTTTTGCGACCTTCTGACCAGCAAACTCAATGGGGGGAGGGAAGCCAGATTCGCTTAACGACCGTGTGACTAATTTAACGATCGCTTAACAAGTGTGGCAAGGAGGATCGTAAAAATGGATCAAAATTCGCTTAACGTCATGTCTCACTTAGCAACCGCCATTTTGGGTCCACTCAAGGACTACTTGTTCATAGAGAGCCTCCAACTGCAGGAGCAGTTCACCTTCAAGGACGGAGGCAGTTGCTACCTTTAAGTCACAAGGGGTGGGCAACCTTGGCCCTTTTATGACTGGTGGACTTCAACTCCCAGAATTCCTGAGCCAGCCATGCTGAGGGGAAAGGGAGAGGTTTCCAAGCTGAGCCAGGCTGGCTCAGGAATTCTGGGAGTTGAAGTCCACAAGTCATGAAGCGGCCATAGTTCCCTCACGCTGGCTGAGGGATTCTGGGAGTTGAAGTCCACAAGTCATGAAGCGGCCATAGTTCCCTCACGCTGGCTGAGGGATTCTGGGAGCTGAAGTCCACAAGTCATGAAGGGGCTATAGTTCCCCTGTGCTGGCTGAGGGATTCTGGGAGTTGAAGTCCACGAGTCATGAAGCGGCCATAGTTCCCTCACGCTGGCTGAGGGATTCTGGGAGTTGAAGTCCACAAGTCATGAAGCGGCCATAGTTCCCTCACGCTGGCTGAGGGATTCTGGGAGCTGAAGTCCACGAGTCATCAAGGGAGCCATAGTTCCCCCATGCTGGCAGAGGAATTCTGGGAGTTGAAGTCCACGAGTCATCAAAGGGCCATAGTTCCCCCATGCTGGCTGAGGAATTCTGGGAGTTGAAGTCCACGAGTCCTAAAGGGAGCCATAGTTCCCCCATGCTGGCTGAGGAATTCCGGGAGTTGAAGTCCACGAGTCATGAAGGGATCAAAGTTTCCCTCATGCTGGCTGAGGAATTCTGGGAGTTGAAGTCCACGAGTCATCAAGGGGGCCATAGTTCCCCCATGCTGGCTGAGGAATTCTGGGAGTTGAAGTCCACCAGTCATAAAAGGGCCAAGTTTGAAGACCCTGTTCTAGGACACTGTGCCTGCGTGCATGTGAGATTCCTGGTTGCTCACAACTCCACAACTCCACCTTCTGTGACCTTTTTAGTGTGCTCGAGAAGCCACAATGGCTTGTTTGAACATGCTGGCTTAGTGGTAGACATGAATTATCCCCCTTTGGTGACGCCACCTCTGGCAAATTTCCTCCCACACCCTCTGCGTTCAAAATTGTCTCATCCACCACCCGTTCACCCCGCTTTGGGAAGCGGAAACCGCCCACAGATCCGCCATACCTGCGTACTCGCTTGCCCGCCTCGCTGACCAGCAAGCCAGCATTCCCAAAGGGGTTCTTGACGGCTTGTTGCAAACCGCGAAGCTGGTTCCCCGCGTTCTGGATCGGAGGGAAATCAGACAGCGTGGAGTTTTCCTGGCGCCCGAGAACGCCAACGCGATCAAACCCGGATCGTCTTTACTTGCCACCCCTTCTGGATCGTTGCATTGGCAACGGGTAAGAACACCCCCCCC